AACTGATGAAGCTAAAACTAACATACATTACTTAGATTGCTTCTCAAGCCCCTTGTAAAGCCATTTGTAATGGTTTCATCTTAAACTTGGGGTAAAGCTGCTGTAGCTGACACTTTTTATGGTAGAATGACAATCACTACACCAAAATGACTGGAATGCTTTTTCCAATGGAACTATTGTTCCTCAGCTGGTACCAAGGCCCTGAGGTAGCTCACTTTTTTTGATTGCTGTGAACTTGCCTTGTTTTATCTCAAAGCGCAAAATCCTGCAACTTCCCTGTGTATGAACATAGCCCCTTTCTGGCTGCTCTTATGGCACCCAACCCCATTCTTGCTCTGCAGAAACAAGGATAGCTTGGTGTATTCCAATTAGTCTTCCATATAATTTGTCTATTAATAAAAAAAGGGGAAAAAAACCTCCTCAACAACCTACAAAGTGATACTTGTTCTCTGTGAATATCAGTTTAGCAAGAGCTAATAAGATGAATTCATACAACTCATCAATGTCAGGTTTTTCAGCTTTGTTCTTTAAATTGAAGACTGTAAAAGAATTTTCTGGGCTGGTTGTAAAGGTTTAAATGTTCTACCTCCAAAATGAATGGAATGCAATTCAGTCTCTGCTACTTTTATTCATCTGAATCTGTCAAGACAGGAGCCAATTAGTGATACAGATGATTCAAGGAACTAGACTGAGGCCACCAAAGGGTTCCATGTAGATCAAAGAAACATCCCGACTTCATAGTGACCTCCTGTCACTTTTAGTGATAGTGTGACTCTCCAGCAAGTTCTACAGAAGTAAAAAACTCAGTGATTCTGTTATGTTCCTGAAATTTCTAGCTTTCAGGTTCCTTGGACTTAATGGGCTCATAAGTATGCCTAGAAAATGAAAAGTTTCAGAAAGTTTGCAGGTGGCTCATTATAACATTATAATAATGACCCCTGACTGAGTATGAACAAGAGAACTCTATTGGCTTAAGATCGGTATTAACTTGTCACTTAAACCAGTGTTTAATATTATGTGACTTTCCACTAAATATGTACAACTCTAATTTTTCACTTATATTTTTTTTAAGAAAGTCTTCAAATCATTATACTTCTTTTCCTAAACTTTGACAACAAAGATTTAAAACAGAAACTTTTTTTCCTTACTGAATAAATGGGGTTTTCTTTTAATAATTTTAAGGAGAGACCATAGTGGTAGCTACTATTGCCTCTTGCACCTCTGTTTGGGTGCACAGCTAGGCTGCCTTTCCAGACTTTTAAACTTAAGTGTGAAGTCTGTTTTTTCCCCTCAATCAATTTGCCCTTTGTGGCTGAGAGCTATCTTACCCTCGGTACTTCCACTCGGGTTATACTGTGATGCTGGCACTGTCACAGCTCCCTGCAGTGCTGTAGAAGCAGCACGGTTTCATGTTTTGTGATTGAGCAGCTGCTCAAAACCCTGACAAAGACCAACCTTTTTTAATCTGCAGCAAGTGACTGGCATTTTGATAATGCACCCAAGGCAAGTTAGACAGCTGTTAGTGTTTTTGAGGAACCTCATGGCATCATGTAGGAAACCTGCACTGTCACCCAGTACATCTACACTCAGGATTATGTTTTCTATCCCTGAAGCACTCAGAATGGTATATCTTTCTTGTTAGGGTGGAGTGATTTCATTCTTGTTTCCTGCTGTTTAGTTACCACTGTTCCTGTTTGGTGTAAGCCCTGAAGTGGATTTGTGTTTGTTTCAGTGATAGAATGAGGGCAGCAGTGGAAAACTGCACAGCCTTGTTTTTTCTCTATGGACTTAGAATAAGTGACCACATGCTCAGTTTGGAAGCTGGTTGTGTCTAGAATTCAAAATGATACGACAAGAACCTGCAGAGCTTAATTTTCTTTAAACTGCTAAATTGAAATCTGAACATGGGGAGCATCTGTGGAAGGGGCATTCAATGAATCACTTAACAGCAGAGTACCTACAGATTCAGGAGCTAATAGATTATTATCTGCCACAACTTAAAATCCTGTAACCAAATAAAATTCTAAATGTAGGTTCTTATTCCTGTGCGCTGCTTGAGCAGCCTTTGCTAAATTGTTCTGCTCATAATTTAATGTTCATCCTTTTAACTTTGAAGGCATATTGCCAAAAAATTACTCATACAGTTAAAGAAAAAGAAATCAGTGAGTGTAGCCCATAAATAAGCTACACAGTCTTACTTCTTTTTTCCAGGTTCTTCAACAAATGACAAAGGTATAGCTTTCAAAAATGCATTTACCAAAAAGAAGTTTTTCAAATCATTTCTTGTACATACAGCTATGCTTTTAATGACTGTTGCAGTAAGCTTGGTAAATGGCTTTCACTCTATTTTAAGTGCATTTCTGCCTAAGTGTTCTTATTGTAAATTCAGTTAGTTACTTTGGTCCTGCTTGGCGGAGCTCAGTGTTTTAGGTGGAAATAATGCAGCAGAGCTGGAAAGGGAGTTTAGTAAAGGGAGAACTGTCACAAGTGGTGTTCATTGTAATGACTGTGATTCCGGAGTATACATGAGAAACAATATACCGTAATTAAACCATTAATTGCAAACTGTGGGAGACCTTTACTTCAGGACACAATGTTTTGCTTATCCTTTGATAAGCAAATGAATGTGATGTGATAAGCAAATGAATGTGATGTGATAAGCAAATTAAGTGATGAAGGGCTCTTTCTTGGACAGCCATTTGTGCTTGGACTAGAAATGAATTGATGTTCTTGTTTTCATCATACTGAGATGAGGCATTTAGACCATTATACATTTGTTTCATTGTCTTTACTATTCCTCTAAAATGACACTTCCGAAAATGATTATGTATTCGTGGCTAAATTTTGGGCTACTATTCCTGTAACCATGCAATATACATCCAAAAGTGAATCTAAATAGCAGCAAACAAAATATCAGACTTTAGTTTTGGTGGTTAAGCAGACATCCAATAGAAGTTCCAGCCCTTGTAGACTCTGTAGGACTGGATTCTCCTTAGCATTGGAAGGTGTTTCCCAATGTCTCAACAGAAACCTCTGTGCTGCAGTTTAATCCATTGTGATGCATAAGAAGATATATACTTCCTTTTTGCAGCAGCCTATTCTTAATTTAGGTGGTTATTGTATACTTCCTTTTATTGACTTGCTTTTTTTCAGAGATTTTTGGAGATTTTCAGTGGTTAGTCACACATGAATTTTGAATGTCAAAAAGGAAAAAAAAGATGCTAAATTTGTGGGGTACATTAGGGTACTGATTACTTTTTCATACTGAGGAGTAATTGAATAAAAAGGAGAGAAGGCAACAGCAGTGGGAGCCTGCTGAGGGTGTTGTTATGGGGGAAAAGTGGAAGATATTGATGTATTTGAGTAGACTTGTTTAACAGTTTTTATGCATTTTATATATGAGACTGGATTACAGAGTTCTGTAGTCTGGGTATTTTTCCCATGTATTCTGGGGATACAAAGCTGCTTAAATGGAAGACCAGAAAATGGGCTTGGAATCAGTCTGATAGATCGAAAAACTTGACAAGCATAGATCAGAAAATAACTGATGCTTCAAATAATATGAAAATAATGTGCAATTAATTAATGTTGGCTTCATTGCGTCTAAATTCTGTATAAGGGAGATGAGCAGCATACTAATAAAATCAGTTATTACAGGGAGAGAAAAGTAGCAAAATAAAGGGAATGGTTCCTATCCATTAAGTACTTTGAAAGAATTTAAGTATTTGGAATGGTTTTGAAGCATTAAGCAACGTAGAGACAAAATATATGCTTCAATGCAAGTACTTACCTCTCTAGTGGCACACGTTATTGTTTAAAAAAGATTAGTGCAAAAAGACACTTATTCAGAAACACAAAGTTTAAAACATTCCTAAAGCCTACTCATTTCTTGCGTTCTGTTGTAATTTGTCCAAACCCACAAAATAGAACTCAACAGAGGCAAGATGCTAAACTACACTGAAAAATACTGAGCGATGCTGCATGTAGAGGAAGATGAAATGCAATACAGAAATTCTGTATTGCCTGAGATTAAATGCAGCTTTCAAAAGCTGCATAAAATTGAAGCCATTAGCTTATGTTTCTTATGTTTGCATTTAAACAGTGGAGTTTTAAAGCTAGACGGTTATAAAATTGTAAATTATAAACAGACAGGTAACATTACACATTATAGGAAGATGGCTCTGTTTGATTATGATACTAGAGGAAATGTTTTAAGAAAGTATTAAGAGCTATAGTCATAAAGCATTGGACTGTTGAGAGATACAAAGATTTGTGTCAGGATACAGAGATTGTTTGCTACTGGAAGCAGATTACCCCCCCCCCCCCAAATTTACTACTAGGAGCACTGAAACACCTAAGTTCTACTAACATACTGCCACTTCTTCCCCCTTTGTGGAAACTCATAGTTTCTGTCGTTTGCTTGTAGGTATTTTAGGTATTTTTCAGTGTTTGCTGTTATTTACATGAATAGTTATTAATACACTGTCAGGTGATAAGTCTATTTTCTTACGCTGTAAAAGTTCTCTTCTGAGAACGTGGAATAAATGAAAACTTCAAGCATTTGCTTCTTCTAACATAATGGAGCTTTTAAGTTATGATCTAAATGACATAAACCGCTAGAGAACTGCTCTTGGGGAATATAAGAGCGTCAGTCCCAGTGCCAACAGTGCTTCCAGCAGTCTGAAGGAGTGAGGCAGGGTAGGTGGGTGTCAGCTGTAGGATGGAATATTTTGGAGTAAGATATGCTGGTTTTAATTCTGTATAATGATGTGCAGTCAGGTTTGGGACAGAGGCAGTCACTGTTTAGGTAACTCCTTTATAAGAATGCCATTGGAGCAGACCTTTGTCATGATCAAGATAAAGAATATATACATACATATTCATTTATTTTCAAAAAAGTAATATGAATGATCATGTGCACAGTGCTTTAGATTTATCAAGAAAATGTTCATGTTTGGACTTGCAAATGAGACACTGAAATTGTCTTTTCTTTCCTACAGGCAGGTGAGCAAGCAGAACAGACTGAGAGGACAAGAGCCAGCCACAAGCAGAGGAAGTCATTTTGTCAGGTAGGAGTAGCGGGGAAATGTGGATATGAGACTTGAAATTAAATGGAAATGAATGGTAATCGTGGGTTTAGATTATTACGCTCAGAATTCCACTTATAGCCTAGTTTCCCACTAAGGTTTGATGCCAGAAAACTTGATGAAGTTGCTCTGTAAAACTATCTTCACCACAACTGACAGTGAAATATTCATGTGTGACTAGAGTCAACTGGAACATCTTTTGGCCAGTGATTAAAGTTATATCACCCAAGATAATTAAAAAGGTTAGTGTAAAAGAAGTATCTTATTCCTACTGAAAAACCGGTCTTTCAGTCCCATTTGTTTTGCTTTATTTTCACTTTTTACAAGTGCATACTGAATACACAGTCCATGATTCAACTACCACACTTGTTTTCAAGCTGTGAAATCCTACGCAAAGGCAATAAGTACAAAAATATGGAGCTTAAAATTGTATTCTGATATTTGTGTTACAGACTTGAGAACCGATAGACCTGTTAAACTGAAATATCAGCCTTCCAACAGCAAGCACTAGCTATAAGCTGAACTATTTCAGTAACTGTAAACATAATAAAAATCCTCGTGATGAATCTCTGAAAAGTTCATTTGATGAAACTCATAAGAAATACATTGAATTCCAAGGAATGAGTAATCCTGCATTACTGCTGAGAGGTAAATAATTTTTTTTCAAGTGACAAGAAGGAACCATGTTTTGTTATGGAAGTAACAGTACAAAATAAAAGCCCTGGAAAATAGCTTTTTTTTTTACAGAAATCAAGATTTCTATAACTGAACTCTATTCTTCTGAACTGATAAAAATGCTTCCAAATTGAAAGCATGTCCAGAAGTCTTTTCAAGCCTGTGCATTTGTTCTTGTGGCAATGTAAGCATTGCTTCATTACTGGGGTATTTTGGTGAAAGGGTCAGTTTATAACTGAATTATACTTCAGTCTGACAAGTAAGCCACTTGGAGCTTATGACTCCCAGTCTCAGATGAGGAAATGGATTAGTTTTAAATTGTGTCAAAATTTCATCAGTAAATCTTCTTGGAGGAGAAACATAGTGTACTTAGTTGACATGAAAAGTGAAAAGCAGTGTATAATAGTTTCCTGGAAGCACTGGGAAGAGGAGGTGGCTGTTTCTTTCAGAAATACTCAGAGTGTGTTTGTAGTCCAAAGAACTAAGTTTTCGTATTAGTGTGAGACAGTTAAATGTGAAAGTGTGTTGTTGTAAAGGAAGTGTGTGTTAGCACAAAGGTGCAAAACGGTTCCTCTTCTTTGGATAACCCTTCATGCAAATGCCATTTTTATGCAGTAAACATACAACAGTACAATAATAACTTTTCTTTGCAACACAAGATTAGTGAATGAAGTAGATTAATTACAAGCATTTTGGTTACTTTTAACTATGTTATCATCAATTGTTGATTTACTGCTGTGGTCCATCCAGATGGCTGAAACCTGCGCTTAGTGTGCTGCTGAAGCAGGCTTGCTTTTTGCAGAAATAAACAAGGAAATTCAATGCTGGAGATGTTCCAGAAGAGAATCAGACTTCAACTGTGTGACCATTAGCAACTATTGTGGTGAAGTAGGCATAGCTCTGTGCAGTATGACAGTGCAGACGATATCCCTGCCTCTGATGTGGGAAAGGAATGCTTATTTGGATCTATTTCTAGTTTGGTCCTATAGGTTCAAAAGCGTTATAATGATCAGGATACATCAGATGTGTTACTTGAGCACACCTTCTGGTTGGATTTAATCCAAAAGGAATGTACTTGACTTGTTTCGTACTTGAATAATTTCAGGATGTGAACCAGTGTGTGTCCACTAGTGGGAATGATCAGAAGGTGTACCCCTGTGAACTAAATGAGAACGTAGATATACCAGTCTACCAACCCCACAGTTATCTCTGGTGTGTTAGACACCACCTTCTCTGGCATGAAAGGTAAATGCAGTTGTTCAAGTTATACTAGTCTGAGTCTCCAATAACAGCATGGGTTATTTACGCTCTGGATGTTAGCCGTTTGGTTTTAAATGCTACACCTGCATCTTAATAGCTCAAGTAAAAGCACCACTTGTTCTAGGTATACATGTTTTGATAAAATGTAGTGGGCAGTGTGCCTTCCTGAAGTGATCTTGCTTAGCCAAGCACTGTAACCTTGCAGTTTAACCATGTGCACATCATCTTGTTTCAGAAATCATCCTTGTGAATCAAGTCCATATGCATACTACCTACTTTACTAGCATCTTTAGCTTGCTATGTGGTTGCTTGCTTTTTCTGTTGAGTGAATGTTTCTTTATGGATCATGTGGAGCTCTGTTAAAGTAAGTTGGCTGTAGATGCAGCTTAATACTGTTTTGATAGAAGGGTTTTGTACCTTCTGTTGAGAATGTGTTTTCCTTTGGTTTATGTCTTTATTAGAAATCTAGGCAGCTTTCTTGGATTTCAAGGGGCAAAAGTTATGAATAGACACGTTCCTTTTTTTTAATGTTCTATTTACTAGGTGTGATCAGTGTGACTACTCTCTGGTCTTTCATCTCACCCTCCCTTAGAAGCTGAGAGTTAAGATAGCACTCTATTCTCTAACAAAGTAGCATTTTTCTACTGGTGACAGCTCCATCAACCTTTTCTGTGACTGTTTTCTTCAAAACAAGCTAGGAATTATCAGGAATTGAATGTTCATGTTTGTATTCTCTTTAGTCCTCTGTAGCAAATACTAAATATGCCCCTTTCTCCCTGGGAAGCATGTAGTTCTTCCCTGCTAATGAGATTTCACACACTAATATATACTGGTAAGAGCACAGTAGAGCTAAGATTACATGTCTAAAGTTGTTCCTGTTGCTAGGAAAAGATGAACCTGCTATCTAAAGGGCTGATTTTTTTTCTTCTAGAACTATCCAATATATTCTGTTAAAATTTTACTAAATTGAGGTCACAAAATTAATTTCTCATTTGCTAGGCCAAAATCTAGAGCACAGTAATACTTCGAGTGAGCTTAAAACAGTACTTTAAAAGCTAAATTATCTTAAAATGGTAAATATAGGAGTTTTTCTGTAGTGCATGAGACATTTTTCTCTCTGCTGTAGTATGTTATCTGCAGTGTAATTAAGATTGTTCCAATTCCTTTGCTGTTTTTTCTTACATGTGTTATTCCTATTCCTTTGTTGGCTTTTCTTGCATGTCAGATGATTTTGGGCAAGCTCTCAATTCTATTCCTTATTCCCCAGCTTGAGGATAGTCATCCCAACTCTTATTGCTTTTGCAAGGAAATTTTTCCTTGGGAGGTACTATTCTGAGCACAGTTTTGTAACAATGGGAATTATTATCTGTGACTAAGAACAATCTCTGTGGAGCTTGTTATACAATGAAGATTAATCACGTGCTTAAATATATTCCCGATTACTTGCAGCTATGAAGAGCTGAGATTACTGAAAGTTGCTCCCATACCTAAAGAGGTGAAGAACTGATCTTTTTTCCTACTGGAGTAAGGGAAAAATATTTAAACTACTGCTGTTTTACCTCAAGGTCAGTAACACTTAGATGAGCTTCCATGCAATAGTCTAGAAAAAGATGTATGAATTAAGACAGGTTAAGCCGGTCCTTGAATCATTCTAACAGAATTCTAATTGTCATTTGAATCGATCCTTATATCCTTATACAGCTCAACTGTGTTTTAAAATAAACCTTTCTTGAGAAGTGCCTTGAAGGTGTGCACAGAATAAGATATCAGTACAGAAAGTTTTACTTGGAGCCCATTTTTTCACCCTATTTATTTTTAAACAACTCTTCTTTGGAACCAGTGTTTTGAGACTTAGGTACCTTTCTTGGCATGGTGTGGAGGTTTCTAGAATAGTTGGGACTTTGCAGGGTATAGGACTGGTTGTTGCATAAATGTGAATTTTATTGCCTTGTTTTCTGCTGACTTCTGTAGGTAACAATATTTACTTCTTAGCTAGGAATATATATAAAATAGAAACAAAATATATAAAATAAAAACCAATAATCAAAAAAGCAAGCCAACAAAAAAACTTCAATCTGTGGGTGGCATGGTCCATTCTGTCTCTCATGTCATGTATTAATTGAAAGCAGAGCTTGAAACTCTGATCTCTTGAAAACAGAAAGCTTTCCTTTCATGTAGTTATGCTAACTGATTTATTAATAACTGCAAAATATGGTGGATCAGACTTTAATAGCATTGCTTGTTACTCAAAGAATACTGTATGTTGAATTGAGTGTTGTATTTTAAAATAGTGTGACTAAACTGTAATTGTCAGGTTGTTGCTCTCCTCCCACCCCGCTAACGGCGGGATTCTCATGACATGCATTGCTTTGGTATTCCAAATAGTAAAACTGGATTTCTTTGCAAAGGAAGACAGACATTGAGTGTTCCTTACAGTTGTGTCCCATGAAATGAGTTACTCAGGTCTGTCTTCAGAATAATTCTAATCTTTAGCTCCTTATGAAGGAGACAGTGGTTACTGGTGTGATGGGCCACCAACGTGAGGTAAGAAAACATGCATTTTTTTAAGTCTGAGTTCCACTGAGAGATTTGCCTGGCCTTGAATTATTAGTTTGTCTCCATAAAGGTTTTTGCAGTAGATGCTGTGGTTTCCATAGTCCTAAGTGGGAAGTATCAGTCTTGTGGGTAGGTTACTGTAAAGGTTACAGCATGATACCTGAAAAAAAGTTGCTGTTTTTTAGGATAGAAATGTAGCATGCTGCAGTGCACCTAGTGCATTGTGGCATGCAAAACTGCTAATGTTGATTTGCTTCTATTAAGCCAATACTGAAGATGTAGAATAAAAGTGTGAGTAAACAAGGGATTGTTATTTGAGATAAAAGCCACAGCTGAGATCGCAGGCAAGATGTCAGCAGCGATAGTCATAAGGAGCTTCTACGCTAGGTAAGAAACTGAGGATACTGTAGGCTGTTACTGAGGCTATGTGGGTTTTCTGTAGAAATTGCACATGTGGTGGATTAAACTTATATTTGAGCACCTGGATTAAGGAAAAAGTGCTTGCTTTCTTGTTCAGTAATGCTTAGTTATGATCTTGTTGACAACACGTTAGGGGGAGGAAAGTTGGATGAGCACTGACACTGACACTTCAGTAGGTATTTCATACTGCTTTGGGAGAGAGAGAGGATCAGAAGGGTATGTGCACTGCTGGGGGCCCCTGGTGAAGGATGGGGAGTGCAGGCAAAGAGGGGAAAGTAATTAGGAAATTGAATTGGCTTCAAAAGCTCTGTAAGGATTTGATTGCCATTAGTGTATGTTTGAGATCTGTCACTTCGGAGTGTAAACACAGCATGATTATTGAGAATTGAAGTGTGTTCCAAGCATGGAACAAGGTCAGAAATTGGAATTGTGCAAATTAGACAATGATTTTGAGATATACATCATGACACAGAGCAATTAAAAACTGGTAACGAATGAAAAGAGATGAGGGAGAAGGTTAGAACTGTGTTTTCTTAACTGCATGGAGTAGTCAAACAGTAGAATAACTTAATTTTAATGAAAAAATAAGACTTCACAGAAGGTAATGAAAAGTCAAGTAAAAAATGTCAGTTTAATAAAGGTTCTAAGGGTTTCAGACCTTGTTGTAAAGCAGCTTTGCTCATCTCTGCATAACACATAACAGTGTTAGTAGCTATACCTTTGTATTCTGGAGTACACTAATAATGTAGTGAAATTAAAGAATAGGAATGCAATATTACATGAAAATAACTATGTGGTCTAAATTTTGTTGTTCTTACCTACAATATGGTTCAACGCCCCTCTACCCCCCTCAAATACTCACAAAGTAGAGGGGGAATAAGCAGTGCACAGCTGGTTTCTGCTCAGAGGTGGGGAGCTCCTCCATGCCTTTACTGTGGTTCTGCCAGACTGCTTTATGGTCTAAGGTGAAGAAAGCTCTTCAAGCTTTGAAATTTTAGTCCCGGGTAGGATGCTGATGTGAAAGGAAAGCTGCAAGAGACACTAGAATGTAGTTACATTCATTAAGAGAGTGAAAATCCATGGTGCTAATCGAAATGCCTGTTAAGTGTGTGCTAGTCCAGTAAGACACTCCTGACATGGAATTAATCCAAGCAAAAGTTCAGGTTTATGTGACCTGTGTGTCTTGTCGATGGGGCCCAAAGCTAAAGAACAGGGGAAGAAATCAAATGACTGATAGCTAATTACCCTTTGGCAATACGTGCTCGCAAATTGAATTTCAGAATTGGAAGAAAAACATAGGGGGCATTAGTTTCAACAAAACCAGTCTTCAGCACTTTTTAAACATATGTACTGCTGTGGTGCAACTAGGAGGAAAGAATTATGCTCTAATTCACTGGAGTCTCAAAACTATGCTTCTAAAACATTTGTTAAGTTATTGCCATATGAAGTGAATTCTTTTCAGATAGGATGTAATACAAAAGTGAGGAGGCAGTTATAAACCAGGGTGTCAAGCAATGTGTACTTTCTCTAGTAAGAACAGGTAAAGTAGGAATGTCAATAATTTTGCCATTTCTATTGATTCATAACTCCTACATTTGTGAAATATGTCTTTCAGTCAGAAATGTGTCCTATGTTCCTACTGAATTGCTACATTTTTATCTTGGAGCCGCAGCCAAATAATTGACTTGAGGTGCTTGAAGTTGATTTCACCCTTTTTTTATGTTAGGTCTTGGGTTTGTTTTTTTTTCTTTTTGTTTCATCAGCTCTGGGTTTTGTTTGTTTGTTGTTTTGTGGGTTTCTTTCAATTCCCTTGAATAGCCTCTGTTTCTAAAGGGCATTCTGAAATATTCATGCTCATATGGCAAAAGGTTGCTGAAGTCCATTCGAAAAACCAAGCAAATACAAACTTAAAAAAAAAAATGAAGATGGGGAGCAAGTTATTAAATATATGTATGTATTCGCTTGATTTTTGTTTAAAAATAGGTATTTTTCAAATATTCTTCAACATTTCTCTTAAAAGAATTCTTTTTTTTGACAATTTGTAATAAATGATGAAATATTTCACATCATGGTACATTCTATTAAGACAACCATCATTCTGAGTCAGTATTTTAACATCTGTAGATACTTGCTCAAGGGAGTTGAGTGGCATTGTGTGTATTGTTTCACACTGTTCAAACAACCAAACCCAGTTACTTATAGCTGAAACAAGTGGTTCAACAGTGATGCCTGTGAATAAAGCTGTGTCTTCTACAAACATGCATTCTCTTCTTGGGTTTTACTTCAGAGCATGTGCTTGGGTGGCTCTAAGAGTTTGTTTAAAAAAGATCCAGTGATACTGAAGGTCAGCCTTTGGCTGCAATGCAATTCATCAGATGTTCTTTTGTAGAATAAACAGTATACAGAAACACATTTAACATACAAAGGAATCTGTTGTGCACATTAAAGTTGGTAATTACAACAGGTAATAAAGGGGGCACATAGCATAACAGTGTTGTCATATGCTGTCAACCTGCATAACTCTGTTCCATGGTATTTCATACTTTGAAACCTTTAAAACATTAATGGGACGCATGGATCTAGCAGTGCTTTGCCAAGACTCAGTTACATGGCATCTGCTGTGAATCACCCCTGCTCTAAGAAAGATGGAATCTGACACTGTTTACTATCGGCTTGTGCTCCTCAAGGTGACTTTAGGAATGTTATTGTCTTCCATGTGTGGTGAACTGACTAACAAAAACTATATCTAGTGTGCTGAGTTGAAAAATAGTCCTTCAGTGGCCTTCCAGAAAAAGTCACTCAAGTAAAGACTTGATACACAGTCTTTTCAAGCTCTGGAAGAGAAGCTGTAATATTGCATTAACGCAAAACTGATGTCTTAGTGTTTGTCCTGGCCAAACTGTTTGATACTTAGGAATCTGGTCTACTTTCATGGGAAAAGAGAGTCTCTGTTGGCTTGTGGTGCTAACAGGAGATGAAGGCAGCGGAACTTATTTTGGCTTTGCAAGGCAGCAGATGAGGTGGAAAACCCAGGGGAATCTCTCCTTATTCCAAGACATTTTTTTTTGCACAGATGTCTTGCAGAACAGTACTGTTAGTGAACTAGGAGGACTGCTCTGACACTGTTACAGCTTGAGTTTGTTTTTATCATGTTCCTATTTTGATAAATAATCATAGGGCAGCAATGAGTAATGTTCTCTGATCTGTGTCTGTTCTTTTGTAGTGTTCTAATTATGTATTTTAACTTCCTTTTGTTCTTAAATCAGTTCTCAAAACGAATATTGTTATATCATCTGTGTGTCTCTTTAATTTTTTATTACACTGGCTGATAAATAATCCTATTGTCAAATCCTGCTTATCTTAGTCTTTTTGAGCCCATAGGAATACTCTGGCTAGCTAATTAAATTATAATACAAGGGAAAATTTATTATAGATAAGGAGAACAACTGCCAGAAGCTACATTATGAAATGTCTGTTAAAGTTGACTTGCTTAAATATTGATCGAGTCAAACATAAGAATCAATGTCAGATGCCAGGATGGATTTTAACCAGCAGAATACGACTTCATTTAGCATTATAGTTTCTCTCCTACCTCTTACATAAATCATTTAAGTCATTCTAATATAATGGGCTCCAAACATGTGTCGAGAAAACTTCACAACTTGGTGAGACATTTCTGCTTTTCAAGTCAGTACTTTCTGGAGAGGCC